AGAACGAGGAATAAAAAGCCCATTAAATTCTGGAAAAGAGGAGTACAGAGGGAGCTTTCCCTATCAGATACTACTACATACTGTGCAGTCACTGCATTAAAAAGTGTGTGGTTGGTACAAGAACAAGCAGACCCACAAGCAGACCAAGGAGCTCAAAAAAAGAGGTATAGAGGGGGCTTCGCCGAAGACTGAGGAGAGGTCAGATTGTGTAGTCGACGGAGTTAAGGAAGCTGGCTCCCCACATACAGAAAATGAATCTGGATCCCTTTATGCCACATGCAACAGTGGGCTCCACCTGAACTAGGACCCAAATATGAAAGGTGAGCTGCAGAATTCAAAGAAAATGTATCTTGCTAACTAAATGGTGGGGAAAGACTTCTGAAAACTTCGAAAGCTCAAACCATAAAGGGAAAAAATGGAAAAATCCAATCCCATTAAAATTAAGGATTTCTGTTCAACAAAGGCCAGTTAAAGACACTCACAGGACAGGAGATGACAATGTCCAGTGCTCACAGCCGACAAAAGAAGGTCTAAAACAGAGAATCATCGGGAAAGGAGACCACTGCCCTAAGATGCAACGCTCAGAAAGCGGTGCCCAGCTCCGAGGGGGCAGGTTGTGTCAGCTCCCATCACTTCTGGCAGAAATGACCTGGCCCAAGTGACCGCAGGGTCACACACCACTGACTGTGTGCCGGAAGCTAGTGGGCAAGGAGGATGCACTAGCAGGCTCTTTACCACAGTGCGCACCCTTCACTTTGTCCTCTGTAAGGACCAGGCAGGCACCTGGTCCCCACAGGCCCAGGATACTGCCTGCTGGGCTGGCTCCGGTGAAGGGAAGAGAGAGGCGGGCTTTGTGGGGTGGTTTCTGGCTTCTGCTGGACAGGGAAGTGGGCCAGAGCTCCAGGCTTGATGTTGCCGGGGGCTTGAGAAAGGCTTTCCCTCCCCTAGTCTCTGGCTCAACTCTTGCTTCCCTGGACACGGTCAGTGGTTTCTGAGAAGCTTAGTCAGGAGTCTCACATGAAGTCTTACTCTGCAGCCTGCCAAGTGCATCCTCCCTGCCCACTAACCTCTAGCACCGTCAGTGGAGCGTGACCCTGGGGGTCGTCTGGGCCAGAAGCGATGGGAGCTGACACTTACAATGCGCTCCCTCTGCCGCGCTCTGCTTCCTGGGCTTTGCTCACATTCGCACAGTCAGCCCTCACAAGGCTTGTGGGCGGGACTCTTCCCACTGTAGATTCGGACCCAGGCAGCTGCTTCCACTTTGAGCTCCTGACACCTGTGCCGTAAGAGGCTGGGACACACACGGCCCCCGCAGCCTCGCAGAATTAGACACGTGCACGCAGTGTGCCAGCGTTCAGAAAGGCCCTGGCTCTGCCCCCTTCTGACTGGGTGTCTTGGGCAGGTCAGTTCCTCTCCCCTGAGCCTCAGCCTCCTCACCTCTAAAATGAGCCGAAGATGAGGACAGAATTATGATACGCACAAAGTGCCTGAGAGAGCACTCACTAGATGCTGGCGAGCCGTTGTCGTCAGCACCCCAACTCTGGAAACTCTGCCCCGGGGTCGAAGAACACTGATGGGCTTGCAGTGTACCAAGAGCGGCGGCCCCTGCCAGGGACCAGAGAACCCAGGACGCCCTGAGCATCTCCAAGGACAAGAGAACCCAGGACGCTCTGAGCAAATCCAACATTGGTAGGAGAGGGTGCTGGGGGGGGAGGTGAGCAAGGAGCGGGTAGGTGGAATAACAGTGGCCCAAGCCAAGAGTAGCCACAGGTCACCTTGGCAAGGCCAGGCCCCCATGGGTGCTGTGGGGAGAAGGCAGCTATAGAGGGTGGGGCTGCGCTGGAAGAACAGTGGTGGTGGGCCAGGCCATGCACAGGTCTGTGGTGAGATGCCCCATGCTCCCCTTCCCTCCTTTCTCTTCACCATCTACACTCCAGCCTCACAAATGAGCCTCCAGACGTTACCAAATGTCCACTGATGGGCAAACTGCCCTCGGCCAAGAGCTACTAGTCTAGAACTTAGCAAACCTGGACTGAGATAAGAAGCAGCCGGAGTCAAGCCTTGGGCCACAGGTGTGGACACAAAGGTCTGGAGTTAGGGCTCTGTTGGTCTTGAGAACAAGGCTGGTCAGCCTAGGTGCGCCCCATCCCTAGGAGTGTCTTAGCGCTGAGTTCCACTTTTAATTTTGCAAAGTGCGGTTGTTCACCCCACCTCTCTGAAGTGGATGGGGGAAGTAGTCTATTACTATCCTCATTTCACAGATGTGGAAATTACAATACACCAAAGTCACCCAGTAAGCTGGTGACCACACCAGGCTGGAACTCCCCTGACAGGGTCACCAGAGACAGAGACTGACAGGGGACCAGGGCAGAGAGAGGACGGCCTGTTGACTTCTGCATCTATTTCTAGAAACCCGCATCCCTACAACCCGGATCCATTAGTTCCTAACAATCCCCAGGGGCCTCATAACTCTGTTCTCTTTCAGATGAGCACTACAGAGGCTCAGAGAGGACAAGAGACACATCCCACTGCGTGTGTGTGTGTGTGTGTGTGTGTGTGTGTGTGTGTGTCTGTGCGCGCACATACACAGGCTTGGAGAGAACTTGGGCATCAGCTCCCTTCCCTTCATGCCAGCCCACATCCAGGCTGGAGCCCAAGGTCTAGGGCTCCTCACAGCCCATCTGACAGTCCCTCAGACACTGCCTGGCCAATGGCCCTTCCAGGCACTTACCAGGCCCCACTCCCCATCAACAAGGAACATCTGAAACGTACAATCCTCTCCCTGTGATGCCGGCAGGGCCTGTCTGAGTGAGAGGATGTTTTCAGCAGTGAATCGCTTCTGTTAGTACAACTCATCACTGTATTACTCGTTATTGATGACAGCGATAGTTCACGAAGCTTGTGCATTTATCACACACCAAAACAGTTCTGGGGCCATGACAGCCCCACTGACCAGTTACAAGTCAGCCACAGCGTAACAGGGCAGGAATTATCATTGGCCCCACTTTATAGAGCGTCAAACTGAGGCTCAGAAAGGTTAAGCGAGATTTACAGCCAGTATGTGTGGGTGACAGACTCCCGGCTCAGACCTGGCTGACTCTGGGGTGCTGTGCTCCTCCCACAGCATCCAGACTCCAGAACTTCAGGGGAACAAGTGAGCAAATATACCAGAAAGAGAAACTCATTTGAGCCTGAGGTGGGTGTTTTAGCGGATTGACTAGAGCCGTGGTCGGCAAACTGCGGCTCGCGAGCCACATGCAGCTCTTTGGCCCCTTGAGTGCGGCTCTTCCTAAGCCTTAGGAGTACCCTAATTAAGTTAATAACAATGTACCTACCTATATAGTTTAAGTTTTAAAAAGTTGGCTCTCAACAGAAATTTCAATCGTTGTACTGTTGATATTTGGCTCTGTTGACTAATGAGTTTGCCGACCACTGGACTAGAGCATCTGTGGTCTTGTGCATACTCTCCACCTTGTGTAGAAATCCATTCTCCTTAGGAATCACAACGGCTGACTTCAGTCTGACCCAGACCTGTGAGCAAGATGCCCGGTAGCACTTTCACCCACATCCCTGACTGTCCTCGGCCGCCCATCTGCCAGAGCAGCCTCCGGTGAGCACAGCCTTCGTGGTCCACCCGGTGGAGGGAGGTGAGACTCCCACACCTACCACACCTATCCTTTGGGAAAGGATAGGGAATAGGGGATATGCTAGTGCCTGGCAAGAAGCGGGGTTCTCCAGCAGTGCGGAGTGCTCAGCCCCCCACCTCAGCCCAAGTGCCTGCATCTCCCACTAGGCTCCTCCTGGCAGATTACCCCTGCCAGGGTCAGCATCCAGCCAAGTGCAGACCTGGCTTGGACAAGTTTCCTCTCCGGGAGCGAAGTTTAAGGTGATAGCTCTCAGAACCGACCGAGCAAGCTTCTACCTGGGCCTCCTGAACTCACCTAGAAAAGGTGTGATGGAGCGGGATGGGTTTTGGAGGGCACACGGCATGAACTTCAGGTAAAGAAGGCAGAATGGAGGTCAAGCCTGGCTTCCTGGCCCTGTGCCCTTTTTGCCCTCAGCAGCCCTTCGCAGGGGTTGTGGTGCATCCCCAGGGGGCTGCGGGCAGTTCACAGACAGGGCCAGGTTCCCTCCCTCCCCTTCCCTCCCAGGGCCTCTGGGTCTCAGTCCCAGGAGCTGGACCCTGGCAAGGTCAGCAGAGTGCTGAGGCAGGTGGGTGCCCACCCTCTTCTGAGAGGACAGCAGGGGAACGCGGGTGACATGAACAGGACCAGCTGGCCCCTTCCCGGAAGTCCAGGGGGACAACTGCCTCTTTGGTGAGGGGGGGCGGGGACAGGTTACAGACCTGGTGAGTCAAGGTCCCCTTCAGAATGGGTGTGCCCTGCAGGGGCTCCTCCCCCAACCTGCCGGTAGTAGGGAGGCACCAAGGGTTGAGAAGCAGGCAGCTGCCAGGGGTCTTGGGGAGCCGGCAGTGTCTGATTTAAGAGTAGGTTTGTCTCCTCCGTTAATATTTTATTGGGACAGAAATGTGGCGCCTGAGGATTTGGTTACTGATCCCGTGGGCCTGAGCTTTGCCTGATGTTGGATGGGGGCGAAAGGGACAGCCCCGAACGCACGGCAGAGGCCTGATATGACTCGCCACCCAGCACCCTGGGCGGAGGGTCTTCAGTCTTCACCCTGCAGCACCTCCTGCCACCGGGCGGCCTAAGCCGCTGTGCTCACCGCGGACGACTCAGATCGGCAGGACTGAGACGGCCAGGGCTGCGGCTCGCGGTGCCACCTGGCATCTCGCTCACACCCACCTTAAGCACCGCGGCTCCGTTCCCGCGGAGGCCACTCCGGCCCAAGACCTCTCTGACCCCTTAGTCCCCGGCCAGCGCTCCGGAGCCGGGAGCCAACCCGGGCGGCGGAGCTAGGCGTGCCCTGCCGGAGCGCGTGCGGCTCCCTCCCCTCGGACGCCGGCCCTGGCCGAGGGCAGCGGGGCCGGGACCACACGGTACCTTCCATGGAAATGGGCTCCAGGATGCCGAACTGCTTGAGCACGGCGATGAACAGCAGCACCACCACCGCCATGCGCACAGCTCCATGCCCTGGATGCCCATGGCGCCCGCGCGCTGCCTCCGAGGCGCCGGGCCGGTGTAGCCCGCCGCTCTGGGGGAGCTGCGCTCACATGCCCCCAGCAG